GCGGGCATCGACTGCTGTTGGCGATCGCGTTCGTAACTGAGATGGACTTCGCGAACGTCATCCGGGTCAGCATCTGCGAGGGGAATAAATTCTGGTATGCCGGTCGACGTTACAGGTTCAGGTATAGCTGTTGCTGCAGCTTCGGAGGCTTCGGAAACTACTTCGTCCTGTACATCAGCTTCGGCTTCGTCAGTTGCAAATGCACGCGAGCCTTCGAACAGCCTGGCGGGGTTGGCAGCTGCTGCCTGGTGGGCACGAAAAACTGGCAAGGTGAGTCGTTCATAGAAGAGACAATCACGTGAAGGGACGATTTGGTTTGAACGAAGATCCAAAATCTTCCATGCATGATACTATTTTTCGATGCCGATGTTTACCCCCCATTTTGCTCGTTCTGAAAATTCGCTGAGTGCTGCAGTTGGAGGTCCATTGCAGGTTGTGTAACAGCATAGCGTGGTCCATTGCATATGGCCAAAAACGAGGAGGAAGGGCTGCCTGTGTCAGCAGGGCATGCATCTTCTCCTGCAGAGTCCAATTCATCCGTTCTACTACCCCTATCTGTTGGTGTGCATGTGGCAGTGACTGCTTCTATTTGATGCCGAGGGTTTGGAGGTAGTCTGTGAAAGCGTTGCTCGTGTATTCCTCTACGCCATCACTCTGAAATTCTTGCAGTTTAGCTCCAAACTCTCGTTCAACGACGGCGAGCCATGCGACGAAGACCGAATGAGCGAGATATCGAGCAGGAAGGTTTGCTGTCCAAACGTAGCGAGTAGACGCTTCGATGAAGGTAATTACATACTGCTCCTCTTTAGGTCCTACTTCAGGTAAGTTGAGAATATCACTGTAGACTTTCTGCATCAGTTTATAACGAGGAGCCAGGAAAATGACTCGGAAACGGGTCATGGGTAAGATTGGCGACCGGACACGTGGTGCAAACCGTTGGGCGAGACTGTGGTTTCAGCTCCGTACCGTCAAGTAAGAGAAGACTGTTTTTAACAAGAAGTGCTGCTCGTATTGAATGAGTTAAAATCCCTTACGATGGATGTCCTAACCGTTGATGCCAAATGTCCTCTGTGGCTTTGTGTCCTGATGATCGCAGATAAAAATCGGCGTTAGTATAAAATGAAGAAATGATGAAAGGAGAAAGGGCTGGAGATATGTCAATCTCCCCTTCAACAAAACGGGTAAATGGGAACTTGACTGTTGATGGTTCAGCTGCAGTTGCAATTGCAACATCTGATACGGCTTCTGTTGATGTGGTGGCAGGTGGTCCTGCGATAGCTACTGTGGGATTATGCTGCTCGGCGACCTCTTCTTGTGCGACTTCTTCGACGTCGGGTTCATCAGCTGCAAGTCCACTGATTTCTCCCCAAAGTGGAGCTGGAGTTCCTTGGAAAGCGGCACGTGTGGTATAAAACGTGCGCCAAGCGTTGGCGCCTTCATCGGCGGAATTGAATTCCCAAGTATCCAGTGCGGTAAGTACGGCAGCTGCAGTTCGAGAAGCAGTTGGCACAGTAGTTGCCCGAAAATGAATATCCACGTGTTGATAATCTGTTTTGTCTAGGTGATCCCAGGGGCCAAGTACAAGGACGCGTTCAGAATCACCAGAGGTGCCCTATGCCAAGAACTGAAGAACTGATACTCCATGTTGAGTATTAGCACGACCAAGGTAAGTATTTGTTAAACTGTGCCATAACTCCTGATCCATTGTATCACAGTTCCCTTGTGTGCGATTTTTGTGTGCCAGGAGCTGAGCTGTGGAGAGAAGATTGAAACCAAGGCCGGCGACGATAAGAACGTTGGTAACGTGTAAGGAATATCCCGTGTCGACGGACTCGAGCGTTACACTCTCGATGGATCTTGCCATAATAGTTTGTCCGTTTGCGACTGTGACAGGTATCGGACGACGAAGCGGATGCTGGTTAGTGACGAAGCTTGTTTCAGCGGAGCACATGTGCCAACCGCAACAGCTGTCGACATACCAAGTATTGGGTCCTGAAATGACTCGAGCAAGGTTAGCGTAAACTTGCAGTAAGGGAATGCCCTCTGCACTTGTGGTTTCTTCAAGTTGTGTCTCGAAATCTGTACATCAAACATCAACTGTCGTAACACATCCAAAAACTCCTTTTCCTGATGTTGCAGATGGAAAAACCGGAGGACGAAGAAGTGACGGAGGTGGATTCTGCGGTGGTTTCTGCATCTGCTGCGTCTGAGACGTTGACTGCTGCGTTGGCTAATGTGACTTCGATAACTACTGCAAACGATGATATGGCTGTAAAGTACTGCGTCGGTTTTGATGGCGACTGCGGCAAGTTTGGTAAGTATGTCCTGGTTTCTTGCAGAAATGGCAAAAGGGATATTTCGGGGGAAGTCGTTGCTGTGGTTTTGGATTTGAGTAAAAACTTAAATGTATCCCCTTCTTCTGATTGCGTTGTGACTGCAGGTCAAGATCTCGCTGTTCTGCTTGAAGATACGAAGAAATTTCAGCTTCAGAAAGGTTCGGGTTCATGCGCAGGAAGGCGCGCGTCTATCGCCACTCGGGACCAAGTCCAGCAAGAAGGACCGTGAGATACATCTCACGAGGGAAGTATCCACCACTCTTCTCCAGTTGATCTCGTAGTGTGCGGACACGATTGACGTAATCCATGATATTCTCGTTTGTCATCATCTGCACATTTGTCAGCTGCGAAAGAATCTTACTCACCGTGATAGTATCCTTTGCCATGTACACCCCCTTTAAGTGGATCCATTTAGTTTCAGCCGGCGTAAAGCTTGAATGAAAAGATCGTACGCCGAGCTGCTCCTTTGGTGATAAGTTTCGAACGAGAACCGTATACGCCCCGAGAGAGGCGTGCAAGAAACTCTGCTGCTCCAGTTGTGTTCCCGTAACAGGATATGTGAATTCGCCGGTGAAGAACGACCTTAGACTGGCAGACTGCGCTAGAAGTTCAAACTCGAAGCTCCAGGAGTAAAAATCAACTCTGTTAAAAGGTATAGTGGTCTTGATCTGCGTGCTGTTAAGTAAATTCGGTGGTTGAAAAATAATACCCTGTTGTTGAGGCTGTGGCTTTTGTTGTTGTTGCTGAAATTGCTGTGGCTGTTGTTGTTGTTATTGCTGAAATTGCTGTGGCTGTTGTTGCTGAGCAAGTGAACGCCCGAAGATGTAAAAGGGTTGTTGCTGCTGCGATTGCGGCTGCTGCGTAAAAGGTGAGAAGGCAAACGAGCCAGTACTTGGAGCTGAAGCTCCACGCATATAACTTGAGCCGTCAAGGCTCATTCCACTAAAGGCTGACGATAGTGACTGAGTTGAAAACTGTGGTTGGGCTGTTGCCTGTTGTTGTACTGTTGTCTGATATTGTGCTGTTGCCTGTGCTTGTTGTTGTTGCGCTGCAGGTGCAGTCGATGAAATCCCTGGAGTGCTGATAGAAGGCGGATTCTGTTGCTGCTGCATACCAATATGCGCATAAGCCGGTGGAAACGGTCCAGAGGCTGAGAGACCAGTGGCGGTCGTGGAGACGGGTACTCCAGTAGTTCCGGAACTTGATCTGGTAGATTGTGCTGGTGTTGATCCAGTCATTGTTGACAGTAGTCTTAATCCCAGATAGCTCTCATACCATGTAATAATTTGGCAGGTGTTGCAGGAGACTAAGTATAGAATATGCAAACACGAACACTTGGAAAACGTCAAGTGTTAGCGTAGGATCTTTACTGGAATGGTAGACTAGTAAGATAGCGGAAGTCTTAAAACTTGTAGAGTAATGAAAGTTTACTGAAGTTAAGTTCAGAATCAAGTCCTGAATCACGTTAACTAAATAGTGAAGACATGCTACTTTTATATCTAATCAGAAGTACATGTTCGCTGATGTACCTGTTGACACTATCGCGCTATGCGCCCTAAATGACACTGAAGAGATGCGAGTGTTCGCGTGAATGAAACGACTGTTCTCATAACGAGCGCTATTTGCTGACGTCATCCTATGGACTTATCTTCTAAAGTAGGATTCGACACTATCTATCGACAATCGACTTACAGAAATGCTAAGTATGAATTATATCACAACACATGTAACGGTCCTAGAACGGTTGTGCATGTCGTGAAGACCTTTGACTCTCTGGGCGTGGAGCTGTCGGACTGCCAGCCTGACTTGCTGGGTTGGTGGTTGAGGTGAGCGAAGGCGAGCAGGGTATCGGACATTCTCGCCACATCTTACGGCGTTGCTGGCCGTGCACGCCGCTGTTAACTACCATGCCTGCCTGCTTTGCTGTCCCGCTATGGACCAGTGTCCCAGGGTTACTAAGTCGGTTCGATCCGAACCCTGATTGAGTATGGATGAAAATCAAAATGACGAAAGGAACAAGGGCCAACAGTGTTGAGGTGACGTGTGAGGGCTCGCACTGTTCGACAATGCTATTTCGTTAGTGTTGTGTAACTAGCAAGGTGGATTTTCGTCGCGATCGCCTCAGCGACTACAATTCTGTTTGGCAGCATCTTCTGAACCACCATGGCAGGTCGCCAAAATCGTCTAGACTCTAGCGTGAGCATCGCCTTATTTAGTTGTGGTCTGGCCTCCTGTTTCGCCAGCTCAAATGGATTTTATGTGTTGCCGTGTTTATTGGGGGGACGCCGCAAACGAGGTTTGCACTATTGGATATTCAAGGCAGAACGAAATCTCCGGACAGAACGAACCTGAGATCCCGTTCACGAAGTTTGCCCAACCTCGAAGGTTACCCACACGACTTGGCATGTCTCAAAATACATTTCAATGTTTGCCCACGCGATCCGAGCTTTGCCCATGCGATTTGAACTTTGCCGACGAAGTTTGCCTACAAGTTGGGTCCGACGAAGTTTTCCCACAAAGTTTGCTCACAGAAACCGAGTCGGAAGAGAAAGTTGGGGATGGCCAAACTTCGTGAACGGGATCTAAATCCAGCCCGGGAGGGGCCTCAGGGTCCTGTGATGAGGCTTGCACCAAATTTTGGCGGGCACTTGAGGGGCGTGACCAGGTGCGGGAAGATGGGGCAAGCGAACGGTCTGAACCGAGAAGTGCGGGTTGTACGCATTATGGGTTGAACATACTGCAACAAAAGCGAGCTGTGTTCCTTACACCCATAGAAGATAAGATTTTACGCAATCACTTCCAACTATCGTGTACCACTAACTCGACCTCGCGCGACTCGCCATCCGCCATGGCAGCGTCGCATCGCCTCGCCATTCTCCTCGCAGCGTTCGCACTCTCGCTTTCCTCAGCGTCCTCGGCTGCCGTGACGCTCAACCCCTCGCAAGGTCGGTCGCGCCCTCAAGAAGAACGTTGCTACCAGGCGTACATTTCTGAAGCTCGAAGCAGCATGTGGGCCGCACGACTAGTCGGTCGTCCGCTGCATCATCACGCGGTGTATTGTCCGCTTCACATGTACTTGTCGGCGTGGCTCTCGTCGGCGTCGGTCCTGCGTGCGGCGCTGTCGTTCGAGCCTGCCACCGCTTGCAAGGACTAGCGGTCGAAACTACTAGTGGTCCTAGGGTTGGCGGTTCAAGGCTCGTGTCCCGTAGTTCTGCGCAAGCAGCCCTAGCAGCCCCGGCAGCGCCGCTGACCGGTCACAGCCGGCCCGTCCGTGTTCCACTCTTCTCAGAAGCCCGGCTCTCCTGATAAGCTCTCTCTGTGGGCCGCACTGCTGGCGCTTCCCCCCCACGGCTCCCCCCCCTCCCTGTGCGCTAATGCTGCTTCCCCCCCCCCCCCCCACCCAACCACCACCCGTGTTCCCCGCAGCGGCAGTGCTGGCCGAGTGTCAGAGGCAGTGGCAGTCGCAGCTGCGCGGATGGAGCAAGGGGGGGGATTGCGCCCAGATGGAGGGCGTGCGCTGCAATGCCGCTGGCTTCATTGTCTCCATGTGCGTGGCGCACCCCCCAACATGCCCCCGCATCCTGTCCCCCTCGCCTTTCCCCCTTAACCCTACCCATTCCCCCCTCCCCCCCACTCTCCTTCAATCTCCAGCCCACTCACCTAACCCCTCCCCGCAACCCCCTTTTTGCGGCCCCCTCTGCCTTCCTGTTCCTCTTTTTTATTGTTGGGATGCTTGGAGAGAGAAGATGAGTTTCGACCACAGCAGGCCAATCGGATGTCACGTGAAGTTGCTGGGGTTGGGGGGGCATTCCAGATAATCCCAAACTCCTTTTACCGTTGCGACGCTGCTTGGATTTGATATCTCCAACGGGTTGGTCCTCTATCCCCATATGCTGGGCCCATGGCACATATCCATACCCCACAAGCATATGTGCGCCCATCCATGGAACATGCTCTTTCTATGTTCCCCTCCCACTGCACTGCACCATGCCCCCGCGCCCCGATTCCATGCTGCAGGAATGTCAGCAATCGTGTGTTAGCCAGCCCCATTCCAGATGCCATTGGGAACCTCACAACACTCATGCACCTGTACGCCTAGGAGTGCCATCCCATCCCATGTCATGCCATGCCATGTAATGCAACGTGGTGTACCAGCATGCCATGTAATGCAACGTGGTGTACCAGCATGCCATGTAATGCAACGTGGTGTACCAGCATGCCATGTAATGCAACGTGGTGTACCAGCATGCCATGTAATGCAACGTGGTGTACCAGCATGCCATGTAATGCAACGTGGTGTACCAGCATGCCATGTAATGCAACGTGGTGTACCAGCATGCCATGTAATGCAACGTGGTGTACCAGCATGCCATGTAATGCAACGTGGTGTACCAGCATGCCATGTAATGCAACGTGGTGTACCAGCATGCCATGTAATGCAACGTGGTGTACCAGCATGCCATGTAATGCAACGTGGTGTACCAGCATGCCATGTAATGCAACGTGGTGTAACAGCATGCCATGTAATGCAACGTGGTGTACCAGCATGCCATGTAATGCAACGTGGTGTACCAGCATGCCATGTAATGCAACGTGGTGTACCAGCATGCCATGTAATGCAACGTGGCGTAACAGCATGCCATGTAATGCAACGTGGTGTAACAGCATGCCATGTAATGCAACGTGGTGTAACAGCATGCCATGTAATGCAACGTGGTGTAACAGCATGACATGTAATGCAACGTGGTGTAACAGCATGCCATGTAGGGACCCATTTGGTTTGGCACCCTGGTGAGGTGCGGGGAATAGGCTGTAGCAGGCGAAGCTCACAGCCAGTCATGACAAAGCGGACAGGCCTGTAGCTGAAGTCAAGTGCAATGGCAGCAGCGAGTGCTATTCCGGGAAGAACAGTTCTACTAAGTCTATGGGGCCAAGCGTGTCTAAATTGGACTTTCTTTGGTGCTCATTGCCCAGTGCTGAGGCGCAAGCAGAGGAGGCTCGGCTCGAGCCGGGGTAGGCTCGTACTTCCTTCGAGCCAATCTAGCTGACCAAATACCTGGCTGGCTGGCTCTGGGCTTGAGTACAAGAGACGAGCTAGGGGGCTGGCTCGTCTTGAGCCAGGTTGGTCTGTGATGAGCCGGCTCGGCCCCGCTCTACCCCTGGCATTTCGCCCACCAGGTCCGTGCCTCCGGGCATTTTGCCCTCCAGATCGGCGCAGATCTGGCAATTCGCCTAACAAATACTCTCGCCGTTGTCGAGCCGCAATGGGGCTCGAGTCGAGCCCGTCGAGCCGACGAGCCGGGGGCTCATGCCTACCTGTGCCAATGTCATTCGCTTGCGACGTGCCTCGGTTTGTGCCTGGACAGGACACTTGGCAATGATTCGATCAAGGGCTCAATCCCTTTGTCCATCTTCCGCCTCACCAATCTCGTCTTGTTGTGAGAACGTTTTTTCGAGCTCACCAAGCTTGCAGTTTGGTGCTTTTGTGTGTGTTACCTTCATGGTCCTCTAAGTTATGCTACCATTTGCCAGGCTCCATCCCCCCCTCGTCCATCATGACATCGATCTCCTTCACTCACTTGCGCCCTCTGGCTATCCTTTGGAGCACGTGAGTGCTGAACATGTCCTCTTCTGTTACCGGTGTTGGATTCGCAATAGTTGTGGACAATCGATGTGCTGCCTTCTGATTGATCGTGAGCCTGGACCACACGCTTAGGTGACATGAGGATACTCAATATCCTCAAAGCTGTGCGAGAAGAGGGCCTCTCATGTGGCTCATATGGGGAATGAACAAGGTTCCAACAGGGTATGGGACACACTGTACATGATGCTTCTCCCTGTTTCCCTCCCTGCCCCTTTGCTGTTTGATCCTCACACATGCAATGATACCAGCGATCTCAATTACAACTCGCTGGCAGGCTCCATCCCAGCAGGCATTGGTCACCTTGCAGCCCTTTCATACCTGTAAGCTGTCCTCCACACAACCCGTTGATTCCACCATGCCAGCAAACAACTTTTAAACATGCCATCTGCCATCACATGCCACATACCACTTGCCACAAGCCACGTCTCTCTCGTGCCATTTACCACATGCCACATGCCACGTGCCATATGCCACATGCCACATGCCACATGCCATATGCCATATGTCACACGCGACATGCCATATGCCATATGCCACATGCCACATACCACATGCCACATGCCATATGCCACATGTCAGATGCCACATGTCGTGCGCCACATGCCATATGCCATATGTCACACACGACATGCCATATGCCATATGCCATATGCCACATGCCACAAGCCACATGCCACATGCCATATGCCACATGTCAGATGCCACATGTCGTACGCCACATGCCGTCTGCCGTATACCGTATGCCACATGCCGCATGCCACATGCCATATGCCACATGCCATATGCCACATGCCACCTGCCACGTGCCACATGCCACATGCCACGTGCCATGTGCCATATGCCACATGCCATATGCCATATGCCACATACGACATGCCATATGCCACATGCCACATACTTTATGCCACATGCCATCACATGCCACGTGCCATTATGCCATATGCCACATACCATATGCCCCATCCCACATGCCACATGCCATTTGCCACATGCCACATGCTGCCACAGGCACGTGTCTCTGGCAGAATAGCAATACATCCTCATTCCTGGCATTATGCTTGTCGGTCGGAACATGTACCGCAACTGAAATAGATGACCATACGGGAATTGGGGGCATAACTACAGCAAGGCGCATGAGGTGAGGTGAAGCTTGGCATGTGGCATGGGGTCATAGAGAATGAGAAGTGGGGGTTAGCATGGCTTTGTAAGTCCATGTGGCATGGATTTAAAGAAGTACATTTGACACAGGTATTGCCATGTGAGTGTTGGGGCGTCCTAGGCAAGCTTACAGTGTGTGGCTTTGGTTGCTTCTGTTCTGTGGGCCGATAACGGTCAAGCTAATTACTGGCATTTCAGAAATTTCCAGGCGCACCCGTTTGTTTCGTCTAAAACTAAACGACCGTATGGAAGCAGAATGACCATACAGCATACCCGTTTGTTATTGTCAGTCCAGCTTGCTCTGTCATTGAGCAAGCACCGCCTTTCCAACAATTCAATGTCCGCTTGCGTTGCGCTGTGTATTACAATGTCTCTTCCGACTTGCACACGCCATTCACCCATTCAAATTTTCAATGCGTAGCGTAAGAATGCCATAGAAGTATGGTCTGCAGGCTGACTACGCAATCACTCTCCTCCTAATTTCTTAGCGACAGTGTGCAGCCAAATCACTAACTCGACTCCAACTGCCTTGTCAATTCACAACGTTTTTCTTTGTTGTATCATCTCGTCTCGTGCTGTGCGCTTGCGCTTGCACTTGATCTCTCCCTGGTGACTGCTGCGATGCGATGGTGTTCCTCCTCCCCACCATGCCATGCCATGCCATGCCATGCCATGCCATGGTGCATTCGCAGGGACCTAAGCCGTAACTACAACATAACGGGGTCCATTCCCCTAGAGTTGGAAAGCCTCACAAACCTCAGATTTCTGTGAGCCACAGCTCCCTCTTGCACCACATCTTGCTTACAGTCATCAATGGCTGCCTCCCGTTCGCCTTGTCACCAATGTGGTGTCTCAAAGAGGTGTGCATCACGGTTGGTTGGTGTATGTTATTGCGCACACGTGTGCACATGTTTGCACTTGTGTGTCAGGATGTGCGTGGGGGCGCGAGCGCGCACGCATGAGTTTTTGTGTGTGTATGCATGTGTGTGCATGCTGACGTAAGCATGCATATTTGTTTGTATATTTATAGGCATGCTGAAGGGGTCGAGCCGTCCACGAGCCAGCTCGGTTCGTTTCAGCCTGTTTACTGCTGGACTGGAGCCTTGCTGCTCGATGTGTTGACTCTACTCGAGCCGGCCCCCAGCCGTGCTGAGATGGAGGCTTGTGCACTTCAAGACAACAAGCCGAGGCCGGCTCGAGGGCCGTACAGGCTCGTTACAGCCCTGGCGCGGCTTGTCGTTGCCCACCCAGCGCAGCTCAAGCCGCGCAGATGAGAACTTTTCAACTTTTAGGTCGAAACTTTGCCGCAATTTGCACAGGTTGGTGGGCAAATAGGCGGATCCGTGTAAGTCAGCATGCGAAATGCCAGATCTGCGCGAATTGGCTGGCAAATGATAAAAATTCATGAGCCTGATTAGGCTTGAGGGCTGCCAGGCTCGTGGCCCTGGCGCACGAGCCAACGGCCGGCAATCCAGTTGGCCTGGCTCGACTCAAGCCGGCCCCGGCTCGGCCCTTGCAAGGTAGGAGACTCACCGAGCTCGGACCGAACTGGCCCTGGCCCTGGCTCAAGTCGAAAAAATTATGTATGTGTGTGTCTGTGTTTGTTTGTGTGCACGCTCTTGCATGTTCGTGCAGACATCTTGGCCTCATGGCTTTAACAGGCCCCTTTCCATCCTGGATATCTGGTCGCACCATGCTCAATGTAATGTATGTTCTCTCTTCTACAAAACCACCTTTGGTTATAGTAGTTAACTTTGATATAAGCATGAGCAAGGGACGGGCCACAATTGGTCTGGCCTGCCATGAGCCCCTCCGCCCAATCTGAGTCGACGGGCCCAGGCCAGTCTTGGGTGCACAGGCGGCGGCGGCAGCACACAGGTGACGGTGCACAGGCGGCACGTAGCAGGTGCGTGGATGGGCAGGAGGAGGTCTGCAAGCAGTGCATGTTGGCCGAGAAAGGGCGCCCACACAACGTGAGACCGCCTGGAAGCGGTGCGCAGGTGGTGCGCGACGGACGGCAGAAACGGTTGAGAAGGAGCGCATGTTAGTCAGTCGGGAGGCGAGGTGCGATTCTGGGAAGGAAGGGAGCGGAAAGAAATATGACCAAGCTGATCGGTGCAATTGGAGAGCGAGAACTATGAAGATACTCAAGCCAAGGAGCTTGCAGCTGGAAGTGAGAAATGCCTCACTTCTAGCTGCAGTTAGGCTCGAATACCAGCTTAGAACCTAGCTGGGATAGTAGGAGTCATGTCTCGTGAGTAGAGAAAAGATAAGTGTCAAGGTACAGACTAAGAAGGTGGGGTGGGTGAAACCCCAACGGAATCTAGGGTGAGTTCAGGCTAGAGTACAGTAATAGATGTGATCTAAAACTGAATCCGAAATGTAATTTAATTTGGCTTATAGCTGGGCCCCTTTTTTTATATAGGGCCACTACATAACAACAGGGCGAAAATTAGCCTACATTTTAACAAAACACACACAGAGGGCACAAAAGTTTCTCAAATTCCCCCCTGTGCGTCTGCAAGCTATGCCTATGTTTGTTCTTCGCACGTTACTGCTCCAGAAACTTTGCTTACAACCTCGTCACCGGAAGCATACCAGCATCCATTGGCAGCACCATCAACCTCAAAGTCTTGTAATTTATGCCACGCCCATCATATGCGCTCGTGCCCATCACGCGTGCTCATGCCCATCACACGTGCTCATGCCCATCACACGTGCTCATGCCCATCACACGTGCTCATGCCCATCATCACATGTGCTCATGCCCATCACACGTGCTCATGCCCATCACATGTGCTCATGCCATCACATGTGCTCATGCCCATCACACGTGCTCATGCCCATCACATGTGCTCATGCTCACCATTCTACCTGCTCCTCATTGCACCTTGCTCAAACATGCAACAGCAATGTGTGGCGCAACAACCTCACAGGCAGCATTCCAGAGTCCATCGGCAGCCTCACCAAGCTCAGCAGACTGTGAGGATCTCACCGTGAGCTGGTCCCGCACCTGACGCTGCAACAATTCAAGCGAACGTCACAACTCTTGAGGTTGCCCCAACCCGTCAATTGTGAAAGTTGCCCCAACTCCCTCAGTGAAGTGATGTGTTGACAATTCTGATAAGTGTTTTGCAGGGATTTTTCTGATAACTCGCTTGTTGGTACCATCCCCGAAGGCATTGGCAACATGAAGTATATTACTAAATTGTGAGATCACTTGAACGATTCATTAGTTAGTTTGATTGCTACCTCTACTCTTCTTCGCCCAATCATTCAGTTCGGTTAGGGCCCAGACCATATTGCAAGCAAGTTTTATTAGGCTGCGCCTCAGTTCCTCCATTTCCGGCCACTCCTTCCAAGGGGTGCTTGAATTCTCTTGTCAAGCAAGGCTATGTGTTTTCTCCTGCGTCCTATACCACCTTCGCTACCTTTAATTGCATTCTCTTTTATGTGACTCTATGGCAAGCCTTGCTTTCAGTGTGTGCCTTGCTTTCAGTGTGTGCCTTGCGTGCATACCATGCACTTGCAGCAGGGACTTCTGAAAGTCAATTTGTTTTGAGACGTCTCAAAACAGATTAATTCTCATGCTGTCAGTGTGTGCCCTGGATACCATGCACTTGCAGGGACTTTTCTCGCAACCAATTGACCGGAACTATTCCCACCAGCCTGTCCCGACTTTCTGACCTGCAAACTTTGTGAGTCACAAGGCAGCAGTCACAAGGCAGCAGTCACAAGGCAGCAGTGATGACTCACAAGGCAGCAGTCACAAGGCAGCAGTCACGACTCACAAGGCAGTAGTAAGTAGACTTGAGCATTTTACCCGGTCGGGTCGCAGGTACCCGACCCGACCAGACATTTTGGCCGGGTCGGGTAATAGGATTTTGACGAATTACCCGGCCGGGTTGGGTCGGGTACTTGGGCCGGGTAATGCATACCCGTTACCCGAGAATTACCCGAAATGTCGGGTAATTTATTACCCGTCGGGTCGCGGGTACCCGACCCGACTTTGGGTTTGTTACTCCGGGTTTGCTGAATTTTACTGCCACCTAGGGTAGGCATGAGCAAAACCGGGTATTTACCCGACCCGACCCGGTTTTGCTATACCCGACATCGGGTCGGGTATTTTCGGGTCGGGTACGGGTCGGGTAACATGCCCAGGACCAATAACCGGACCCGGGATTTGGGGGCGGGTAATTTAATACCCGCCTGGCGGGTCCGGGTATACCCGACCCGGTTTCCTTGAAAAGCGGGTAGTATTACCCGCGTTTTTCTACCCTGTTGGGCTACTAAGCCTACGACCTAGATGGTGCTTCAAAAAACGTGAGCTGCGGGAGGGAGTATGAGGTGCGCCAAATCTTTAACAGTTCTGGTGTGGTGAGTGGGTCGTGAGTGGGGCCTGAGTGGGGAGTTGGTTGGGTTTTCTAGTTGGAATGGGGGTGTGTGCGGTTTCTGGGGGTTTGATTCTTTGACCCCCAGAGTCAATTGGTTGGAACTCCAACCAATGTGGTGCTGTGCGGTTGGCTGGATTCAGGTTGGGTTGCAAATTCGATTGGGGAAATTCGATGGGTTTGACTTCCAACCAATTCCCCCCAATTCAACCACTTTGAATGCATCTGTATCTACGAAACCCAACCCCTGCCAATCTACAATGCTCTAAGTGACCTAGCAGCTCACGTAACCTAGAAATTTGATGAAATTTCTCTACCAGCGCGACTATGTCTCGCTGGTTCCGTCGGGTAGACCGCTACCCGATTTCGGGTCGGGTACCCGCTACCCGACGCGTCGGGTAGTAGGCTTGAGCAAAACCGGGTAATTACCCGACCCGACCCAGTTTTGCAATACCCGACCTCGGGTCGGGTAATTTCGGGTCGGGTACGGGTCAGGTAATATGCCCAGGACCCTTACCCGGACCCGGCCTTAGGGGGCGGGTAATACAATACCCGCCTGGCGGGTCCGGGTATACCCGACCCGGTTACCCTGAAAAGCGGGTAATACTACCCGCCACCTACTAGTGGACATCCTAAAGTTGGGCTAGGCTAGGTAGGGTTCCTGAAAACGCGACTCTCAAATGAGAGTCGCGTTTTCTGGGGGTCGAATTTTGACCACCCAACTCCCTCCCTTTCACCGCACTGAACTCCTCCCCGTCTACAAGCTCCAATTTCCAACCAAACTCCCTCCCTTTCACCGCACTGAACTCCTCCCTGTCTACAAACTCCAACATTTCCAACAAAACTCCCTCCCTTTCACCGCACTGAACTCCTACCCATCTACAAACTCCAACCTCTTCTCCAACTCCCACCCAACTCCCACCCAACTCCCTCCCTTTCACCGCACTTAACTCCTCCCCATCTACAAACTCCAACTTCTCCTCACAAATGCTCCACTCGTCCCCCCTCACCTCCAAAACCGTTTTGCCGCAAAACCTAAAACACAGCGCGACTTACGCCCATGTCTAGGTGGAATACCCGACCTCGGGTATATTTTACCCGACCGGGTCGGGTACCCGTTACCCGACACGTCGAGTAGCATTTCGGGTAGCGGGTATTGATACCCGGCCCGGGTAACCCGGACCCGACCCGGCGGGTAATTTTCAGGATTTCCGATACCCGACCCGCCCTAAAAGCGGGTCCGGGTACCGGGTACCCGACCCGGGCGGGTAGTTTACTCAACCCTATCAGGTAGCATTTCGGGTAGCGGGTATTGATACCCGCCCACGGTAACCCGGACCCGACCCGCCGGGTAATTTTCAGGATTTCCGATACCCGACCCGCCCTAAAAGCGGGTCCGGGTACCGGGTACCCGACCCGGGCGGGTAGTTTGCTCAACCCTAACCTAGGGGTACCCGGGTAATATTACCCGACTTCAATTAAATGCGGGTCGGGTATATAGTGACCCAACCCGCCAGACGGGTACCCAATTACTTGGTGTTAAAATGTCGGGTCGGGTAACAGACCTCCAAACATTACCCGGAAATTACCCGACCCGACCCGACCCGGACCCGATCGCAGGTAGGGCAGAACCGGGTCGGGTCGGGTAATTACCCGGTTTTGCTCATGTCTAGTAGTAAGGGAGTCACGTAGGATGACAGGAGAATGGAAACATGGAGCAAATATGACATGTGAGCAGGAAATGCGAGGTAGTATGTACATTGTTCACAAATAAGTTAGACGAGCAGAGATGTAACTTTTATTGGACAATAGCTTGCAGAAGACTACATTGTAGAGTGTACCCTAGGGTAAATATCCTAAAGCTGGGTTGGGCTCCATCCACTTTGTGGTTGGAGTCCCAAAGAACCCTTTGACCTGCAGCACTATTTTGGTCAGGTTACACCAGCAGTAACAGTTATTGGTCCAACTTTTCAACAGTTCTTGGGCCAACAGCTATTCGACCTTCAGTTATATTGGCCAACAAACAACCTGATCAACATAATTGGGTCCTCCAATAAGTGTTGGTTGACCCAAGACAGGTCACCCGTTGACCCCACTTACCTCTCAACCTCTGTATGCCCTGAGATCGCTTGAGCAATCTATTACCATTATGAGCTCAATTGAGATTCTTCTAAGTTTCCACTACCATTATGTTGCGATTGTGATGTATGTCGTCCATTTATTTTGGCGAATGGGTTGTTCGTCAGAAAGGACTTGCTCACGTTTGTTTGTACTGTGTCATTGGAGCATGGGCTCATGTTCTTTGGCTGTATCATTGGCAGGCAAAAACTGCATTGGTCTCAAATGAGGCGCTGGTCCCGCCGCCCATGGTCTGACTTTGCTAACCTACAGGTTTCTAAGTGGCAACATGTTTAGTGGGTCATTCCCCGCCTGGATTACTGGATTGCCTAACATTACAACACTGTGAGCTCCCCATTACAGGGCTTGAAGGTTTCTGTTCCACGTATGTGTTAAAACCGCCGTAGACATTCCCCTAAATGCCAGAGAATGAGCAATGGCAAATGTGTAAACATTCGGGATTGCGGGGCGGGGGGAAACAAAGGGGCGGGGGAAAAAGGAAATGCGGGGAGGGGGGGAACAAAATTGCGAGGTGGGGATACACAGTGGCGTTGAGAGGATGAGGGATTTGTAGCACACAAATCCCACATTTGTCTTGCCGAATGCTTTCCAAGGCTGGCGAGGTCCAATTCTCTTAAGGCACAGTTACGCGGTAATCCAGAGTCAAATGTTTATAATTTGATAGGATTTCAAGGAATGTGTACGGCGGCTTTAAGCGCGTGCGCACCCATTGTCCTCGAAGCAACATGTTGTACCTGGATTATGTTACTTGTAAATAGTGCTAAGTGTTGTCTTACTTAAGATGTATAATCTTCTCCCTGACCATTTGCACATCTATAGCCATTCCAATTCACGTTGTTCTGCTCCAGTCACAAAAGCAGTTTGAGAGGACACTTACATTTGTGCTGTGCTACTCCTCTATACTAGACATGAGCATGGGCGGAGCCGAGCCCAGCGCGTCACGAGTCGGGCCTGGCTCGCCTATGTGTCGGGCCAAGCCAAGCTGAGCTGAACCCTGAGCCCTGAGGGGGTGGTCAGCTGGCAAATGCCAAATTCCAAAACCAGGTCGGGCCGGGCCGCCTTAGCACTGGCCAAGTTTCGGGGACGGGCTGCCCGTGCCCGTGTTTTTCTAGACGTGGGCATGAGCCGAGCCTGGCTCGGCTCGGCTCATTTTGGGTCGAGTCGAGCCGGCTCGGCTCGATGGCGAGCCGGGACCCCGAGATACCCGGCTCGGCTCGTCTTGCTGGTTTTTAAGGGTTAGTGGTTTTTGCGGACCCCTGTTTGCCAGCTTTGACTAGGCCCGCTGCGGGGATTGAGTTTGCCAAGCCCTACATAAACTCCTAATCTAGACCAGTTGGTGCTCTGAAAATAGCTAAGGCGGGCGCAACGTACGAACGATGTAGTTGCTGGCTACGGTTGGTGGGATTGGGGTGGGGATGGCGTGGTACTAGTCTGTGAGGATAGTGTTTTGTCGATCTACAAACAGTTCCCACGCGAATCCCCCCAAATCCCGAGGCACTTGGCTCGAAATTGAGCCAGGGGCGAGCCGGCTCGCCCCGGCTCACTGTAAAAAATGGTGACGAGCCGAGCCGAGCCGGCTCGCCTCGCCAGGAGCCGGGTACAAAAAAGAAGGCTCGGCTCGCCTTTTTGGCGAGTCGAGTGAGCCGAACCGGGTGTCTCTCAGCTAAGCCTGCAAACAAATATCACTGTTTTTGGATTCATATTCGGTATTCGACAAAGATAAAATACAAAACGAATCTGACATCCTGAAGCTATTCGACACTCAAATATTCGCAAGTTCCGAATATTCGACACTCAAATATTCGATATTCGGGAAAATATTCGTATTCGTGTGAGTCTACCATACATCTCCCCGACTCCCCTTTCCTCTCAAAATCGGCAGCGCAGTATAAGCGAAATCGGTGAAATCTGAAGGTCGCGCTATTCGCTGATTGCGGCCTCCATAAAACCAATCAATGGTGGACAAAAACGAAAACAGGATTCTTGAGCATGACATGTTGATCCATAAATAACCTGCCAGAATCACAGCTACTTCGACAATATGCCAGGAGTGGAAGTGATTGGGGAGGGGGGTAATAGACTATCAAGGTTAGAGGGGCTATTTCTATCTCGGTCTTCGGTGGGAAGCCCTAGAAGACACTCAAAACCCTGTTCTGACCACCTATTCGTATTCGATTCCGTATTCGTCGTCAAACACAATATTCGAACCGTATTTGTATTCGAATAGGAAGTGGTTTTCGATCAAATACGAAAACACACAAGTATTCGACAAATACTATTTTTTTCCTGCCGTATTCGATACCGTATTCGTTTTTGCAGGCTTAGTCTCGGCTTCTGCCCACGTCTATGTTTTTCCAGGCCGATTCAAACCGGGCCAGCGCAGCCCGTCCGGAATTTTTGTTCATACCGACTAGGCAGCCTGCTTCTTCCAGAACGCCCTTTGAAGTCGTCTAAAATGCACTTAGTCGAGTTTCTTCTGTTCATTTCGCCCTAGGGTTGAGCAAACTACCCGCCCGGGTCGGGTACCCGGTACCCGGACCCGCTTTTAGGGCGGGTCGGGTATCGGAAATCCTGAAAATTACCCGCCGGGTCGGGTCCGGGTTACCCGGGCCGGGTATCAATACCCGCTACCCGAAATGATACCCGACGTGTCGGGTGACGGGTACCCGACCCGGTCGGGTAAAAAATTACCCGAGGTCGGGTATTCCACCTAGACATGGGCGTAAGTCGCGCTGTGTTTTAGGTTTTGCGGCAAAACAGTTTAGGAGGTGAGGGGGGACGAGTGGAGCCCTACCTAGGCTAGCCCTACCTAGCCTAGCCCAACTTTAGGATGTCCACTAGTAGGTGGCGGGTAAAATTACCCGCTTTTCAGGGGGTCCGGGTCGGGTATACCCGGACCCGCCAGGCGGGTATTATAATACCCGCCTAAAAAAACCGGGTCCGGGTAAGGGTCCTGGGCATATTACCCGACCCGGACCCGACCCGAAATTACCCGACCCGAGGTCGGGTATGGCAAAACCGGGTCGGGTCGGGTAATTACCCGGTTTTGCTCATGCCTATTTCGCCCCTTGAAAGTAACCTGCCCAGCCCAAACCCAACCAATTCAACCTGCCGAACCAGCCCAAAGAAAAACCAGCCCAACAACCCCAAACCAGCTTGAGCTATCAAACCAACATAAACCAAAACCAACCTCCCACTGAGGAGGCTGGCAAACCGCCTTGGGTGTGCTTCCCAATGAAACAAGCTATGTTTCCCAGTTGATTACTGAATTAGATTCTGTATAAATGCCATACACAACTTTCTTTCACATGTCGCATTCCCTCTCCCCGGTGGCCCACCTCTCCCCTCTAGCCGGGCTTCTCCTGCACCCTCCCTTTTCTCCTCTGATATGTAATTGTGACTAATTTCCCCCGCTCTATAAGAAAGGCTTCAAGAAAACTTTCTTAGTCCCCGACCGCCCCTGTCTGGCCTCTCTACATAGCTCTAGCTTTGCTCCTGAATGAATCCACTACTCACAGAGCATACACGCTTAGGCTTGAGCAAAACCGGGTAATTACCCGACCCGACCCGGTTTTGCAATACCCGACCTCGGGTCGGGTAATTTCGGGTCGGGTCCGGGTCGGGTAATATGCCCAGGACCCTTACCCGGACCCGGCCTTAAGGGGCGGGTAATACAATACCCGCCTGACGGGTCCGGGTATACCCGACCCGGTGACCCTGAAAAGCGGGTAATACTACCCGCCACCTACTAAAGTTGGGCTAGGCTAGGTAGGGTTCCTGAAAAGGCGACTCTCAAATGGGAGTCGCGTTTCCTGGGGGTCGAATTTTGACCACCCAACTCCCTCCCTTTCACCGCACTGAACTCCTCCCCCTCTACAAACTCCAATTTCCAACCAAAATCCCACCCTTTCACCGCACTGAACTCCTCCCTGTCTACGAACTCCAACATTTCCAACAAAACTCCCTCCCTTTCACCGCACTGAACTCCTACCCATCTACAAACTCCAACCTCTTCTCCAACTCCCACCCAACTCCCTCCCTTTCACCGCACTGAACTCCTCCCCGTCTACAAACTCCAACTTCTCCTCACAAATGCTCCACTCGTCCCCCCTCACCTCCAAAACCGTTTTTGCCGCAAAACCTAAAACACAGCGCGACTTACCCCATGTCTAGGTGGAATACCCGACCTCGGGTAATTTTTTACCCGACCGGGTCGGGTACCCGTTACCCGACATGTCGGGTAGCATTTCGGGTAGCGGGTATTGATACCCGGCCCAGGTAACCCGGACCCGACCCGCCGGGTAATTTTCAGGATTTCCGATACCCGACCCGCCCTAAAAGCGGGTCCGGGTACCGGGTACCCGACCCGGGCGGGTAGTTTGCTCAACCCTATACACGCTTTCCTATGATAACGAGAGAACAAACAGAAGTAGCTACACAACTACGCACTCGCAGTTTTGTGGCTACCTCCTAGCAGATCCACTCCGGAGCGCGCACCCCTCCCTCCCTTGGGATCAGCCGCTGTCCGTTTCGGGTTTTTCTCCACCGTGATGGCTCCAAGTCACTTTGCCATCAACGATGCCTCCTGCCTTCCTGCATGCCTCCTCCCTTAACTGCTCTTGACCCGCCCAGCTGTACCCTTCCAGACTGCCTCTCTCGCCAACTGTCGCACCGCCATTCTGCTTCCCAACCTTGATCTGAACACCCATCACTGTACATCCCATTTACCACCATAACCATGTACACCCCTTTTTCTCCAACCCTTATTGCTTAAACCTCCCGAGTTGTCCCACGATTTTCATAACACATTTGTTATGTCAAATCGTGCGACACACATCCCCCCCACATAGACATGCGTATATCGCATCGCATCGCGTTTTATCGCATTTTGCGATTGCGATTTTTATTTTTGTTAATGAAAAATCGCAGCGATCCAGTGCGATAATATCGCGCAATTTTTGCAATATCGCGCATTTATCATGGTTTTTTCAGCGCGATAAAACGCGATATGTGATATCAAACTATCGCTCGCCATACATTTGCATATCGCATCGCGGAACTGCGCCAGAAAGGGGGGGGGGGGGACATGGGCGGGGGCCCTGAACTTAGCAAAATTTAGGGTTCTCTGATTGTAATGGCGTGCGGAAATTGCGCTCGGCTGTTTGGGGTTGGCGTAATTGACGGGGAGGTGTTTGTGAGTGTTAGAGATAGGCTGCAATTCGGTTAACACAACTTTGTGTGTTGGCACTTTGTTGGTTTTAGGGATACACAAATTTGTTAGGTTGGGTGTAGCTATGTTTTCATCCCCAACCTATCCCAACCCAATCCATCCCAAATCCCCACGATTTGGGAGGATTCCCTTGGGATTCCCTTCGATTCTCCCTTATCCCTTGCCATCCTCACCGGTGCTCGGTACTTAAGGATGTATGCTCTTGCTCATTTCAATCAATCAAGTTCTCAGTTTCTGAGAGTGAGGAGCTTGGAGAGGAAGGGTTGGAATTTCTAGTTGAAAAGGAGTGCAGTGCGGTTGAGGGAGGGGAGTTGGTTAGAGGTTCAAATTTTGACATGGGCGGTGGTGGATGGAATATGGTGGTGTGCGGTTAAAGGGATTTAGGGGGTTGATTGCAATCTCGACTCCCACTAAGTCAATTGGTTGGAACTCCAACCAATTTCCACCACTTCAACCGCTATATATCGCACCCCCTAAATCCCTTTAACCGCACACCACCATATTAGTGATACCAATTTCCACCATATCTCCCGCTATATATCGCACTTATGGGTGCGATACTTTTTAACATCGCACCCTAAATCGCGATATGCGATTTCAGTTTTTGAAACAGAATATCGCAGCGATGCGATGCGATATGGCATCGCTGCGATATCACGCACTATATGACAAAATGCGATGCGATATCGCATCGCATCGCATTTTAACCATGTCTACCCCCACATGTACCATTGACCTTTTCCACACTGACCTCTCCGCTGTGATGTTCTGATGTGATCACACATGTGCATTCATTGCAGTGACCTTAGTGGGAACCAGTTCTCAGGGCCCCTACCAACTGCTCTTGGTGCTCTGAAAGGACTCACCAAGCTGTGAGTGCCGTGATGCTCTGCACACCCTGTGCCGCTCCTCTGTTCTGCACTGTCAATTGCACCTCGTGCTCTCGTGATATGACATACCCTCCCTTCCTGTCTACCTGCTCTCGCATTCCCTCTGTCTCTTCCCGTCCACGTTTCCCACTATTGGACCTTAGGAAATGCCTTGTGTAGTAAATTGACCTAAGGAGCATACTAGGAGACATGGTAGGTAGGCGAGAATTTATTATTAGTAGAGCAGAGGCCCGTCGTCAAGCAGGCTCCAGCCTCTCTTTCGCCCCGGGCAGAGGTCCTTCGATGCCTTGCGCAGGTATGGTAGGCACGAGGTGCGGCCCAGCCCATCACAGGCCGGGCTGTGACAGCAGAGTAAGTTCTATGAATGGTGCGGCCCGTCTATAAAATTATACCTAATTTTTTACCAGTCTTGAAATTGCTGAAATGTCTGGAGGCCATAACAGCAGAGTAAGATCTCTCATACTCTTATTATCTTATATTGGGGATATGGGCGTGATGTCTCACCAAGGAAACAGTGTCTTATCCCAGCTGGTGAGCAAATTTGGCTGTTTTAAGAATGCCACGCCTCGATTTACCTTTTCACATCCACCAACTAGTTTTGAGGCGCCTCAAAACTCACATCCACCAACTTGTACCATTGACCTTATCCTTTTTTAAATCTCTTCTGTCATGTTTTGTTGTGATCACATATTCATTGCAGTTCCCTTGGTGGGAACATATTCTCGGGGCCTCTACCTGCTGCTCTTGGTAGCTTAATTGGAATCAAGTATCTGTGAGTGTTGCAGTGTGCTGTGTCCTACATATCCTCTGTGCTCCTCCTCGGTACTGCACTATCTATGTGCACCTCGTGCTCCTGACACAAATACCCTCCCTAATTAGACATCGTCATGCACTTGCACTGAAGACCTCTCTTTCGCACTCCCTCTTTCTCTCTCCCCCCTCACCCCCCATCTTTCCCTCCCCCATTTGCCTCCCCCCTCCCCCCACCCCCCCCTTCTCCATGTTTTTCAAATGCCTTCTGTGCTCAAACAACTTGTGCTGACCCACCACCAAAGAAGGCACCGTTTATCTTATTCAATTTGTGAATCAGGTTGTATGGAAATGGCATACAAGGTTTTACTCCTTCGTATCTGCCTGCATTGTACCATTGACCGATTCAATTCTGATCTATTCTCTACGATGCTCTGCTGTGATCACACATTCGTTGCAGTGGCCTTGGAGGGAACCAATTCTCAGGGCCTTTACCTGCTGCTCTTGGTAGTTTGAAAGGACTGACTTATTTGTGAGTGTTGTAATGACCTCTGCATACCCTGTGTTAATCCTTTGTGTTTCAGCTTACCCTTTGTTTACCTTTTTTGTTTCTTTGTATTTCACTCGTCTTTACCTTCTGCACCACTTTTTCTTCCTGTTGTCCTCTCTCAAGAGGTCCTTGTACAAGCTCGGCATGGTAAGGTAAGCAAGCAAAGACAAGTAGTCACACAGCCTACGGGATCCCCACTAGGGGCTGTTTTAGTGCAAGACAGGAGAGGGTCTCGTCCGGTGAGCCTACTGGTGGGTTTCCCGTTGTCTGTGCTGTCCCGTTGAGATTGATGAGGTAGCTCACGAATTGACCCCTCTGCACCACCGATCATCGCTGGCAAAACTGGTGTGAAAGCTTCGCCTCCTGGTAGGTAGAGGGGTTGGCATTAGGATGATTCCTGGCAGCCAAGAGCTTGAGGAAGGTAGGCGGCTCCACACAAGAGCACCTGTATGCCTCAACGGCGAGGAGGAAGGATCTGACGTGGTCGGCGTGGTTGCGGTACTGGTCTATCTCTTTTGCCACTGCTTCCCAGGTCCCCCACCCCTGGCCTTTGGTTGCATGTGGTTTCCTGGATGCTGATGGGATTCATGAGGATGAAATCATTGATCCAAACGGCCCTGGTGTCATGTTCCTGGATGGCAGAAGATTGCAGTTTCTTTATGCACAGTGAACCCTGCCCCCTGGGCTATCTGGATGCTCCCACCCTGGCTTGAGGCCCGTCTTAGGAGGATGGGCTGGGGTACGCCCTTCCTTGGACCGGGGTGGCCTAATACGGGCCTACCTACTGCCTGCCCATCCGCACGACTCGGGGCACTTCGCCCGCCGACCCGTGCACATCTGGCCACCCCACCCGCGCGGATCCAGGCTAAAATTGACTTGAGGGTCGAAAATTCTGACCCGCGCGCCTCGGGTCGTGCAGGTCGTCGACGAGGTCAGCATGTCGTTGTGGTTGACAGAGTGGGCAGGTCATGGGCAACTCAAGGGCTCCATTCGGGAGGGCCTCATCGCACTTGGCGAGCCAGTCATGTGGGGTGGTAGAGCTGGCGAAAGGGCCTGCCAGGGTCCGCTGGTGGGAGGCGAGGAGCCAATAAGCCTGGGTGATCCTGGTGAGGCAGCTGTAGCTTCCTTCCACCAGGGGGTCCGCGAGGCCGAGGCTGCTGCAGAAAGGGGCAAGTGACACGTAGGCCCAAGTGCGCACAAGCTCAGAGTCACGGTGGGGGAAGCGGAGGTCACAGGCCTGTAGGAGGGTGTGAAACAGGCCGTGTCCCCATCAGGACCACCCCTCCGACGGCCGGAGGTCCAGGGAGGTGATGCGGATGAGGTAGGAGACGAGACTTGTCGAGAGATGCAGCGGGTAAGGAGCAGCGACACCAGGAGCAGGTCCATGGTAGTCAGGAGGGGCAGCGGGGAAGCTAGGGATGGCAGCTGGACCCGGAGGAAGCGAGTCGTGCCCTCCGCTGGTCCGATGTGGCTCCACAGCGCCCTTCATCGCTGGGTTGAGTGCTGTGCACGAGCCCGAGGGCGCTGTGGCCAGCAGTGAAGTGGTTGAAAGCCTCCGTGCAGGCGGCCGGCTTGCCAAGGAAGGTTATCTCATCTGTGTAGGCAAGGCAGAGCACCGAGGGGAGGCAGTTGCAGTGGGCCGGAGTGCTGGATGCATGCCGGCTGCGAAGATAATGGGGCCCAGCTAAGATGGTATGTTACTGTTTTGGAGGTCGCGTAAACATAAATTTACTCGTAATTTACGTCAGTGTGGACAGGTAGGCAAAAACAAATTGCTGAAGGACATCGAGACAAATTTCTACGGTGCCTACATGTGCAACAAGGCGAATCTTGGACGAATCACGGGATGCGTAGATAATCGCCTCTCTGCTGCCAGGAACGGCTACGCCAAATTAAAGCCAGCGTCTCATAATTCCGGAAACTTTGCAAGCGTTAAACGCTTGGTACCAGGTAGGCTTGAGCATACTACACCTAACCCGCGGTAATTTCACACCCTGAAAATGGATAGCAAACGTTTGGCGTATCCTGACGGTGTGAAGTTACTGGGGCGCGAAACGCCCCAGTATCTTCACAGGGGTAATCCACCGAACCAAAAAAGGTGCCACGCTGTCGCAACCGAGGCTCCTCTGGTCGAAATGTCGCGCTGGATTGGAATTTCAATGCACCGCCCATATTTCGTGCGTTCGTTGGGTGTATTTTGCTCGAGCCAATTAGAAAGCATGCTGCTGATTTCATTTGAATTGGTCAACTCCGATGTGGCGGATCTACAGTACTGTCAGTGCTTCCAGAAGCGAGTTTCTTTTCTGCTCCCCCCTACTGACACGCTCCTGTGCGCAGAGCCACAAAATCCGATAGGTCGTCACCAATTCCGAGCCTATTCAGGTGGCTCTTTCTCTCGCGGGCCTGGGGCCGCCCATTTCAGTGCGCCCCGAACTGTTGAAGCTTGACCGCCCCACTACGCGACATAGGGTGTGAAAATACTAGGTGTGAAATTACCGCGGGTTAGGTGTACCCGCCCGGGTCGGGTACCCGTTACCCGGATCCGCTTTTGGGGCGGGTCGGGTATCGGGAATCCTGAAAATTACCCGGCGGGCCGGGTTGGGGTTACCCGGGCGGGTATTCAATACCCGCTACCGGAAATGGTACCCGACCCGAAATCGGGTAGCGCGTCTACCTGACGGAACCAGCGCGACATTGATCGCGCTGGTAGAGAAATTTCAGCAAGTTTTTAGGTTATGTAGCTGCTAGGTCACGTAAAGCATTGTAGAGTGGCAGGGGTTGGATTTCGTATATCCAGATGTATTCAGAGCGGTTGAATTGGGGGAAATTGGTTGAAATTCCAACCAATCGAATTTCCCCTATCGAATTTGCAACCCAACCTGAATCCAACCAACCGCACAGCACCACATTGGTTGGACTTCCAACCAGTTGACTCTGGGGGTCAAAGATTCAAACCCCCTAAAACCGTACACAACCCCATCCCAACTAGAAAACCCAACCAACTCCCCACTCAGGCCCCACTCACGCCCCACTCACCACACCAGAGCTGTTAAAGATTTGGCGCACCTCATACTCCCTCCCGCAACTGGCGTTTTTTAAGCACTATCAAGGTCGTAGGTTTAGTAGCCCAACAGGGTAGGAAAACGCGGGTAATACTACCCGCTTTTCAAGGAAACCGGGTCGGGTATACCCGGACCCGCCAGGCGGGTATTAAATTACCCGCCCCCAAATTCCGGATCCGGGTATTGGTCCTGGGCATGTTATCCGACCCGTACCCGACCCGAAAATACCCGACCCGATGTCGGGTATAGCAAAACCGGGTCGGCTCGGGTAAATACCCGGTTTTGCTCATGCCTAGTACCAGGTTACACGGTTGAAACTAGGCGGAGAGGTTAGGGAAAGCCCGTGAGAGGGTGGAAGCAACCAGGGGCGAAAGCGAGTGTAAAATCAGGGGCACCACGGTTCGTGACGTATGAGACTGCTCAGAACCTGGGAAGTAGCGCGCAACTGGTACTGTGGGCCGTTAGATCTGTCCCAATTTCAGATCTGACGGTCAGCTCCCTAGACAGTTGAATCGACGGTTGGAAGCGAAGTAGAAAGTGAGAGCAAAAAAAATGGATTGTCGGCCGTTGGATTTCCGAAGTGTGACTGGCTCGGTGCGGAAAACCAAATTCGAGCCAACTTTACCCGAACCAGGATTTCGGTTTGGGAAAGTTTGTCGAAACAAAAGGGCCTCGCTACCTGCTTTTCGTTTTCACCAATTCTTCAGCACCTCGCCCTCCAATCACCGAGTGTCTTCCCCAACCAAGTGTTGAATAATTGGAATTATGGGACCCTGGCTTTAAAGGAGTGGGAAGAAAAAATCCCTCGCGGTATCATCAGCGACAGTAATTGCCGCCTTTGCAACTGGTCGAAGGAGGCACTCGCCAGCTATGGGTGGAGTGCCGCCATCGGGATTGGTAAGGGCCAAGAGGCGGGGCAAAGTGAGGCGTGTGGCAATTGTTTCAGGTAGGCTCCCTTTCAGGGCGATGTTGACAAGGCTGAGTAAGTTGGATGCCACGGCGGAGTTGGTGAGTGCTCTTTCTCGAAGGTGTTGGAATGTGGTCCCCGACTCCCCGGGGTCGTGTTGCCACTCCGTGTTTCCAAGCAGTGCATGCCTCGCTCACACATGACGTGCCTTTTCATGTTGCTCCTTTTAATTTGATTTAGTTCTCTCATCAACTCCTCACATCATACATGTCCCTCATTTCGCTGCCTCCATCCAACCCCACGTGCCCCACGAAGCAGCGACATATCAGACTCGGGTCTCACATGTCCTTCAGATGCTTCCAGCTGTGTGGTACCCCAGTCCAAAACAACTCCCTTCTGCCAGAAATGCATGATGTTCTGTGCCACATGTACAGTTAACAAAGGTGAAAACGATCAGTGTTATGCAATTCTATGTAGGTTTCAGCAAACAATCCTAGGTTGTGCTACTCAATGCTAGGTCATGCCAGTCAGTGGCTAGTCATTCCATCTTTGTGTGCATGCTAGTTGACTCATGGCATGCCATTTTGCATCATGCATAAACAACCTCGTACGCCACTTGTGGTATGCATGTGCATGTGTGACGACCAATCCAGCTCCACCCCCACCTAGTGTCGTGGCTTCCCCGCCTCTGTCACCACCACCTGCGTCAACATCCCTCGTTTCACCACCGCCCCCATCAACCACTGCATCTGGAAGCCCTATTGCGCCATCCAACACCTCCTCCTCTTCGCCCTCGTCCTCTGACACCTCCTCCCTCTCCGGCTTGTCCATGGGAGCTGTCATCGGCATTGTGGCAGCAACCATCCTGCTGCTGCTCCTCCTGATTGGCTCTGCCTGGTGGATTGTCACACGTAGCAGGGCATCCAATAGAGGTCACGTTCTTTTTTGCCAGCTCTTTCCACTGAAGGATGGACATAAGCACCACATTCAAAGGAAGCATGACATAAAGACCTCTCAGATTGAGGCCTGATTTTTTTTGTTTATCATAATTGTTAGTAATAGATGCTTTTCTATCCTGAGTCATATCGTTTGCCTTCTCATGGTCCTTCTATACCTTCTCTCTGACACTTCCTCCCAAACTCCCCTCCCACACACGAATTTCTTGTGCAGCCCTGCCCGCCCCAGGATCTTGGTTCCTCCTTACACAATGTTCACTGTCATTCTTTTTCTCTCCTGTTCCTCACCACTCTGCAGCTTCGTCTGCCGCCGGCTTGGGGAACGCACCCACGCCGTGCCACCAGTACTCGCTTGCCGTTGTAGCTCGCGCCACTGGCAACTGGTCCAAATACAGCCTGCTTGGGTCGGGTGCTTATGGAGACGTGTACCGGGGGGTGTCCCCCGATGATGGCACCACGCTGTGGGCGGTGAAGCGAGCCAAAGTCATCACCACCGACTTCCGCAAGGAGGTGGGCGACAAGAATCGTCATTCATAACATTCACTGTCATTAACCCTTGTGCACTGCTGCCAAGCTCGCATTCTCCTGTTGGTCGTCTTCCGAAAGAAAATGAGAATCGCTCTATTACTCAAGAAAGTGAGGGTCCTCATACGTAGAAGTGAAAACAATCCTAGGTGGGTGGAGTTGACCAACCTCACCATGATTGGATGGACCAACACTGGTTGAGTTGAGTCTGTCCAACAATATAGGTGGGCCAATAATGCCAAGCTTCACCAACAATATTGAACCCCAACAATTGGGCTCAAGAGTTGGGTTGGCCAATGCTGATGTATGTATATGCAATATTACAGCATACATGTTTTACAGGGGATATTATCTAGCATATACTCTGGCATGCGAACACAAGCGATAGTGATTGGGTGACAAAAGGGTAATAGCTCCTCCTGAGTGGGGAAACAGGGAGGGGAGGAAAGGGAGACCGGCAGAGAGGGAAGGGAGGGCGGCAGGTGTGTGGAGAGGTAGTGATTTGTTGAATATATTGGCAAGATTGTCGGAAGCGTTGATTTTGTGCACAGTAGGTAATCCCACTAGATGAGCTCATGAGCATAAAAGGTAGTGAAACCAGATGTGTTTTGAGTGACCATGGAAGATAGGATCCTTGGTGATGTGGATGGTTCTGGCGTTCTCACACTGAGTTTGCCAAGGTGGGAGCAAAGTTACTCGTGGGCCGCCACGGTGCTTGCATACCTCGTATTCTCTCGCATGACGACGAGGCAATGGCAGACGAACGGGGGGAGTGCCAGTCAGGTGATGTGATTGTTGCCTAAGTGGAGAAATACGCTTGGGCAGCCTAGCGTATTGCGTATATACGCTAGCGTATAATACGAATACGCTGTACGCTAGCTAAGTACGCAATACGCTAGCGTAATTCTTGGCGGGCAGCCCGGCAAGAAACACGCAAAAAAATATGCGACAAATTTGCGACATGGCGAAACCCCACAGGGATTTCGCCATGTCGCAAACCGAAATTTGGCTTTTGAAATCATCAACCCAACCCCTTCGCCCCTCCCAACCGCACAGCATCCCACCCAATCTCCAGTGGTTTGGGGGAGGCTTACCTGAGATAGGGGGTTGGCTGGTTGTTGGAGTTTGGAACCCTTCACATGCCCTTGTTTGGTGGCTTCAACTATCTATTTATTACCATGCTAAATGATGCCACATTTGGTGCTCTGCACCCCCCCTCTTCCCTCCCCAAACAGGTTTTTTTACATCTGCCCGAGTTTTTTTTAGACCTGCCCGCCAGAGCGTATTTCCTAGCGTATCCAATCCCGGAATCAAGCATACAGCGTATATACGCTAGCGTATATTACGCTAGCGTATAATATGCTGTACGCGTATTTCTCCACTTAGATTGTTGCCAAGAGTAAATTCCTAAGAAGTTCGAAAGAGAAGGGAGTGGAGATGGTGTGCACTTGGGTCATCCCAACGCGCTCGAGAAGAATTTTGTTTTAAAATGCTTGGGAGAGAGTGGTGGTGCTTGCAGCACTGTAACGCGTGATTGTTGTGCCAGGGTAGTGCTTCAGCTCCCCGAGGTGGTTCTAGGTTAGCAGTATTGCAGTAAGCGGCTTAACACTCATCATTTCGTCAGGATTATCAGCAACCGGGATCGTATCGTCGACGTAAATGAGGATGTGGAAGGGGGATGGGAAGTGTAAAGGAAAAGGCCCCCAACAAGACATGGGCACAAGCCAAGCCACACCTGGCTCGGCTCGACTTGAGGCGGCGGCCCGGCGGCTCGTGCACACAAAATCATGCGAGTCGGAGTTAAGCCGACTCGAGCTGGCTCGATTTCGAGCCAGCCGGCTCGCGGCTAGGGAAAGGGGGGTTTCTCGACTGTCAAATTTCAGATCGACAAACCCCCCCCCGCGCCAATTTTGTCTGCCAACCCTGACCTCACCCTGTCGCCCTAGTCTATCGACCTCAGCCAGCCCTATTTAAAGTTGCAGCTCCTCCTGATAGTTTTGTAAGATGTTGAACCAGACGATCAGCTGAATGATCTGGATTATCCCCTGGACTAGAGACCCCAAACCCCATGGCCCAAATTGAGAGCCCACACAATCCCCCCTGACGAGCCAAGCCAAGCCGGCTTGACGGCGAGCCGGCCCCGGCTCGACCCCATTTTCACGAGCCGAGCCGGGGGTCCTGAGGACCCGGCTCGAGGCGAGCCGAGCCAAGCTCGGCTCATGCCCATGTCTAACACAAGGGATAGACGCAAATAAAGATCAGAGTTTTTTGGATGCTAGTTTGAGTCCCCACACCAGTTTGGGGCCCCAAAGTAGTGGATCATGTTCCGCCTCTAATTCTGTACGTGTAGTTTTCGCCCTTTCAGTGTTTGAAAGGGCCATTTTCGCCATTTGTACAGCCGGTTGTTCCGCAAGGGTTTCATTAATGTGACACACCACGCCACGCGCATGCAGTACCCTGTGAATGTGCTGTGATGCTAGCCAGGGGCTATTAGGCTTCCAAGGGGGAGAGTCTATTTTGTCAGTCCACCACAACCTTAATCATCTCCCACCCTTCTCAAAATTCAAAACCTTTTTTAACCTAGAATCCATCTTTAGCGTGCGCTTTGAACCCGATTCACACATTATTGTGCTCAAAGTTTTAACCACACAGCATCACAGAGAGGAGCGGATATTTTGGGAGAGAAGGGCGTGTAGATTATCTAAATATTATGAAGGCCTGAAGGTGTGTGTTTGTCCTGACTACGCCAAGCCAAATAAAACAAAACGTGGGAAAACAAGCACTCGCTTCGGTTCGCTTAGGAAGCAGAAGGGGGGAAAACGAACCAGTTTACTACTCGGGAACGTACTAAAAAACACAACTGAGCACCGCAAATAGGGTTGAGCAAAACCGGGTATTTACCCAACCCGACCCGGTTTCGCAATACCCGACTTCGGGTCGGGTATTTTCGGTTTGGGTACGGGTCGGGTAATAAGCCCAGGACCATTACCCGGACCAGGTCTTAGAGGGGGGGTAAAACAATAACCGCCTGGCGGGTCCGAATATACCCGACCCGGTTCACTTAAAAATCGGGTATTGCTACCCGCCCTTAAACAGCCCTAAACGAGTTCATTTTGACCATCGTGTGTGCCATGGTTGGGCCTGTCCTGGAGTGGGGGGGGGGGGGGGGGGGAGGGGGGGTAGCAACGACTGCGTAGTGATTAAAAAACACAAGAAAGCATGCGTACAAGCGTGTTTTGACTTGAAATAAGGTTATTACCCGACGCCGGGTATTTAATACCCGACCCGACGGGTACCCGATACCCGCTTGGTCGGGTATAAATTCGGGTAGCGGGTAGCTATTTCCCGGCCGGGTACCTGGAACCGACCCGCCGGGTAATTTTCGGGAATCCTAATACCCTACCCGCCCAAAAAGCTGATCAGGGTCTGGGTACCCGACCCGCGCGGGTATTTTGCTCAAGCCTAACCACAAATATGATGAGAAACAGGAAGAAAACGTAACGAACCAAGAAGTGAGAAAGTGCAAGAGAAGTAAGTCGAGGTTCCAATCGAAGGCGGAAACCAAAAAGATACGGCGTACCAGTACCAACCAATACATAATGTACTAGAACAAACGCATAGGAAAAATGAGTCATAGACATACGATATGGTGAAAATAAATCTGTTGGAGAATCATTTCTAAGTCCAGAATGGTTTATAAAAGCACGACACTCAATATGTTGTAACTACAGATTTTTGCAAATTATGACTTGATAAACTTTATGAAACCAAGAAATCAAGAAGCCACTTAGCGAAAAGTTGCACATCATTGGATCCCAAAACGAGCAGGTATGAAATAGGGAAAATACATCGGCGCTTGTATTAGGGGCCTCAATAACATGTACGGTCAGTGACACAATATAAACAATCAGAATTAGCGAGTTCGCAACATGTTTCATCAGTCGGGTTCCACCGTTAGTCAGAAACTACAGGAAAAAAGCTCCACGAATGGTTAGTAGAAGTAACCCTCGTCCGTTTCGGAACATTTTCCCGCCCGCGCCAGCCCGATTTCGTCACCATTGTGGCTGGCGCGATATTTTTCCCGAGGTCCAAGCGCGGTTCGAGCGAAAAAACACAAAATTCCCTAATCAAAATTCGTTGGACATTTGTTTGTCGAGAAACACGAAAACACGATTTTGTTTTGAAGCACATAATTTTGTCCCTGAGTGTAGCGCTTCCCGCGATGATAAAATTTTGCGGCTTTGTCTCTACCGCATTTGGGGCCCCAAAAAAAAGTCAAGCCATAACTTGTTGTCGTTCCCGAGTCGCCCGAAAACAAAAGCATATATAGATAGCTACGGAGGTTTGATTTCGGGAAATGAGTATGTTTAAAAACACTTCAAGGTACTCTCAGAACCGCATTTAATTTTGTATTAATTTCAATACAAGGAATCTATTAAGTCTGCCGGTTGTCTTTTGATTTTTTCAACAAATGTATTTACCGGAAAAGTTTTCCGCCGAATTACGAGTCTACAGGTCTTGTCATGCTCGAAACAAATTAGCGCACGCGCACGACATTTTAATTTTCACGCCTCATTGGCTTAGCGCCCATCCCGGAAAGATTTTCCCTTTCGTGTCAAATGTTTTTTTTTTTTTTTTTTTTTTTGCGTTTGTTAATGTTTGAACAATGTCGCACCCGATGTGCGGCCTGCTGTGGCCCAATTAGCTTATGACAGAAATGCGCGAGGTCTCAATTTTGGAATTTTGTGTGCGCTACGTCCAACGATTTTTAATTTGCGAATACTTTACGTAGTTCTCTCGAACTTCGCTTGGAGCTTGAGAAAAATATCGCGTCAGCCACAATGATGACGAAATTGGGCTGGCACGGGCGGGAAAACGTTCCGAAACGGTCGAGGGTTACTTCTACTAACCATTGTGGAGCTTTTTTCCTGTAGTTTCTGACTAACGGTGGAACCCGGTTGATGAAACATGTTGCGAACTCGCTAATTCTGATTGTTTCTATCGTGTCAGTGACTGTACATGTTATCGAGGCCCCTAATACTGAGCGCCGATGTATTTTCCCTATGAAATACTACATTTCATAGTATTTGCCTGTTAGTGTTCCCATAATAACGGTACACATGGGCTTCATGCCGAGCCTGGCTCGGCTCGGCTCGGCTCGACCTCGAGCCAGGGAAAAGTCAAGCCGAGTCGGCTCGACTCAGCCCGAGCTGGCTCGACTCAACCCGAGCCGGCTGCCCGAAAATGACCGGCTCGACTCGGCCTTTGTTGGGCTGGCTCGACTTCCGGCTCGGCTCGGCTAGACTTGACAGAGGGGAAGTAATGTACAAGTCTTGACACAACTTCTAAGTCGTCTCCCGCTTGGTTTTCTGGCCCATGCTGGTCCTATCCACTTGCGATTACCCTAACCTAAACCCTAAATCCGACAAAGCCCTCCTTAACCCGCCGTTTTGCCCCCAGTATTCTAATCCGAGGGCAGTGGAAGAATCCTATTTGAGTGGAGATTCGCGTTTTTTGTCAAGAGTAGAAAGTGGGTGTAAGGCGGACCTGAAAATTATTGGTTCTAGACTGAAAACGACAGTGCTTGTCTACCCTAAAAACGAGATTTTGTAAACCCTAATCACCTAATATACACTAGGTCATGTCCAAGATAGGAGTGTCATTAATGGAGGTGGGCGTTGGCAGCGCTTGGAGTTGCTGGAAATCGAAAACCAGAAAGTGGCTTCGATTTCCAGGGGGTCGAATTTTGCCCCCCCGCGGGTGAGTCGTGCGACTCGGCGATCGAGCCGTAGTCGAGCCGGCTCGAATTCGGCTTGACCAAAAATTTGCGACGAGCCGAGCCCGAGCTGAGCCGAGCCGAGCCGCGCAGCTCGACCGGCTTGTCTCGGCTCTGGGCGAGCCGGCCAAAACAAACCCGGCTCGACTCGCCTAAAAGGCGATTCGAGCCGGGTCGAGCCGAGCCTCGCTCAGCATGTTGCCCGTGTCTACCTTGTGTGCTCGACTTACTTTGTCATTTCTGCTTGTCCTTTCCTCAGCCTCGCTAATTTCGCAACCCTTTCAAGATTCAACACCTTTCAACGCGGATAATTTGAAACGCGCGTTTTAACCACATGAATGTATGAATATGTGAATGCATTCGTTGATAGTTTGCTGGGTTCAACCTTATCTTCCTCCTATCTCCTTTCCTCTCCCCACAGGTGGCTCAGATGGCCACGAAGCACCATCCCAATCTGGTGCGGCTGCTGGGGTTTGCAGTGGGTGGCGATGTGAACACGCGGGTGGAGAATGTTCTCATCTACGAGTTCATTGCCAATGGTGACCTCCAGAGGTGGATCAGCCACGGTACAAATCAAATTATGTTTGCATCAACAATTGGTGATGTCGTGAAACATACTTCCAAGCCCAAGGTGACATCAGGATCTGCATCGGCCGTTGACATCTCAAGAGCTGTGCTTCATTTCAAGCTCAAGTTGGCATAGGTACCCGTGCTCTCAAATGCCACCTACTCCAATGGCGCCTTCCCTGTGTTTTCCCGCAACCAGATGCCCCTACAAGTCTGACCCTGCTGCAGCGAGTGGACATTCTCATAGGGGTGGCACGTGGCTTGGAGTATCTCCACAGCTTTGACATTGTGCATCGCGACATCAAGCCAGCCAACATCCTCATTGATGCCCACATGCAGGTGAGGTGACAAGTTACGGAATCTGTTGCCAGACTTGAAGGACGTTGAATCTGTTGTACCATCAACACTGACGTCATTGTTACATTCTTGCCAGCACTCTCATCAACACTTCGGCCTGATGGTTGGCAGGTTTCTCTATAAAGCCAGAGTCCCAAAGTGCAAAAGAGCTGGAAGTATCTTTTGTGATGCCTGATCAACACCACCCATAGTTCCCCTTTTTGCATGCACGTGTTGAAACAAAAAAGAGGCTTGTGAACAAATCTTCGTCAGATGACTTTTTTTTTACCTTTTTTTTTTTTTTGCCAACCTTGTCCCAAACACCCGCTTGCCCCAATCTGGAGTCTCGAAGGGGGAAATACTTGAGCAAAAATCGGCAATTCGTGAGCCATCTTGGGACTTGGACTTTAACGAGGCACGCAGCGTAACCGTACTTGCCCTACTCCCACATTGCCTTTTCCCTTGCCTGTTTCCTTTCCCGTCTTCCCCAGGCGAAGGTGGCAGACTTTGGATTGTTGCGTGTGGGGGAGGGCAGTTCAATGGGCTCAACACGAGTGCTTGGAACAGTGGGCTATGTGGACCCTGCCTACTGCAGAACACACAACGTCACCACCGCTGGTGATGTGTACAGGTGTGATGCTGATGTGTACAGGTGTGATGCTGATGTGTACAGGTGTGATGCTGATGTGTACAGGTGTGATGCTGATGTGTAGAGGTGTAATGCTGGTGTGTAGAGGTGTAATGCTGCAACCCGGCCTGCTCCCACTAAGGCTCGGCTGCAGTGGCCTGCCTAGGATATGATAAGAGGTAGCAAGAACATTCTGCAATCTCCCTTTGTACGTTTGCAGACGTTCAACCCTGAATGCAACAGACCTAAAATTTCACCCCGGAACAATGTTGAAACAATAATACCCAGACGAATGAGGGCCAATTGTGACCCATTTTGCTTCCTTCTGTTGCGTCTATGAGACGAATTTAAGCTGTACTTGTTTAAGATTACCATGTGTGGACGTAATGGTTCAGTCCGCAATGCTGAAGTCCCCTTGGTTTCGTTAATAATCATGCAATCTCCATTTTCTTCTTCCGCACGATGTTGTTTCCGTTCCTCAGCTTCGGCATTCTGATGCTGGTGGTGCTGTCAGGCAGAGGAGCCACTGTTCACGAGATGAACCCAGGCAGTGAGCCAGGCAGCTCTGGTGACCAAGAACCAGTCTCCATTTCCACATGGGTGTGTATGTTTCTTTCCCTATGGCAATCTGTCTCTACAGAGTTCTTTCTCCAGTGCTCTATTTGCAGTCGCTGATGCGTGCATGTGTGTCCCGCCCCCACCCAACAGGCAAATCATCTCATGGCTGGTGGGACGACATCACTTCTCAGAGATCCACGCATGGCAGCACCAGAAGACATCATCAAGCGCATTGCCCAGCTGGCTGTGAGCTGCACTGCCATGCCCACTGCCTCCCGCCCCTCCATGCTTCAAGTGATGCAAGACTTGGAGGCCCTGAGGGAGGAGGTGGGAGGGGGGGATGCTAGGGCAAGAGCTGCAGCAAGGGTCGATGCGATGATGGTGGATCAGCAGCCTATGAGGAGCATGGATGAGGATCTTGCATTAGTGAAGCGACAATTCGCGCTCGAGAGTGAAACCGCGACCAACTTCTCAAGCCATGAGGGGAGTGCTGGTTCTAGTTGAAAGCAAGTGAACAACCATCCTAGCAAGTGAACATCCATCCTTTGTGAAAATGGATAGCTACCATAATCTCCTGAAAATCATTCTACCATGCAGCATTCCAAATTCCATCGGCAGCCTCACCAAGCTGAGCGAGCTGTGAGAATCTAACCATAACTAGTCTCACAGATGATGCTACAAGTTTTATCGGACAAGTCTGTTGAAAAGGTTCCCTAAATCCCTCCACTCGTGAACAAGTTTTACAGAGCATGATATGGTGGACTGATGACTTTTTTCACAGGGATTTGTATGATAACCAGCTTGCCGGTACATTTTTTTAGGGCAGTGGCAACATGAAGTACGTATGTTACCTCCCTCTGAGATCACTCTGTCTGACAGTTTGCTTGCTATACTGAACCTCTACTTTTCTTCATCCAAACTTTTAATTTTGGTAACGCTCGGACCATCATTGCCATTCTGATACGCTCTGTTTCACATGACTCCATGGCATGCCGTGTTGTCGGTGTGCCCTGCGTACCATAAGCTTGCGGCCTTCTTTCAAATAACCATTTGACCTGCACGATTCACAAGCGGCTTGTCTCGCCTCACTGACCTGCAACGGCTGTGAGTGACAAGGCAGCAGGTGCATAATTGCATGGAGAATGGGGCACAGATGGCATTGGAGCAGGAAAGAGAGGTCGAACTAAGTGAGAGAAGCAGAGATACCTTTCCATTTCTCTGGATGCTTGGACTCTGTGTTAAGGGCCGTGTTTCCCATGTGTCAGTAGGCTATGGACGGAATACTGTCCTGGTTGTACGGTATCTTTGATAGGCATATTGTTTCATTGTTGTTAGATCCCGCAATGGTCCTGCTGGCCATAGGCTGGGCCTGCTTACTCACAGGGTGCTTAAAGGCAACAAGCTGAATGGCTCCTTGCTTGCATGGATTACATGGATGTCCATTGTCCAACATTGAAAGGCTGCTCCCTTTCTACAGCTATGTTAGGCACATGCGCTCCCTTAGTTTCTAGGACCAGCATCTTTTGTAGAAAATATTGGGTTGTGTCTTCTTAAGAAATATTGGCTTGTGTCCTCTGGCCCCCTATACCCTTGGTCTAATTTCAGGTGTTCTATTGCAATAACACACATACATAGAACTTTGCAAGGAATCTTACATGTGTGAGCTCTGTGGCATTCTCTGCATGCTCGTCTGTACTGCACAGCTCATTTTCACCCCTTTTCTCTTGTGAGATATAAACACCCTTCCAGCATATGCATCCACACGCACTGGCATCCATATACTGTACATCTCGCTCTGCTGTCCCTCCTCACAACCCCCTCCTTGAGAGAGCTCGTGGATCCATGGGGGAATATGGGTGTGCTGACGTCATTTTATCCCAGTAGGTTAGCGCATTCGGTTATGTGTAAAAATCCATGACTTCATCCATTCCAATCTGTCCCTTGTAATGTTCTGCTGTTATCACCCTTTCTTGGCAAGGACCTCACCATGAACGAGTTCTCAGGGCCTCTACATACTGCTCTTCTTAGCTTGAAGTCACTCAATTATATGTGACTGATGTGGTGTGCTCAATACTGCCTTGTCGACTTGCACCTTATACTCTTGTGACATATGCATTGTCTCTGGAAAAACATCCACATGCAATCGTGTCAAAAGTCACCTCTCTCTCAAATGGTCCATGTATTGATGCAAAATTAGGTACAAGCTTGGCATGCTAGGTAAGTACACGCCTTGATGACAATTACCAAATTTTATTAGTGGTCACGAACCCCACCTCCCTACCAAGCCAGGCCATAACAATGACCAAAACTTTATTAGTGGTCGCCTTGTCAATTTTGTTTCCACAGCGCGTGCGGCAGACATTGGCTTAAGCCAAGCCAATTTTTCTTTGTGACAGGTTCGGCTTGAGCCAAGCCGTTCGTGCATTGAAACAAGGGAGAGGTGTAAGATCAAAGGGGTTAGAAGAGGGCGAAGCATTAGGAAATGTGGTAAATTATATTATGTATGGACCCAATGCTGTGCAGCGCTTTTAAGACCACCCAAAAGACAGATGTGGCCAGTGTGCAGCATGTGGGAATGGAGTAGTGGCAGGGAGAGCTGGTGGAAGTGCAGCAGTGGAGGAGCCTTTAGCAACGGGGAATGATCCTGAGGGAGGGGTAACAGGGGGGATGACAGATAGTGTGGTGGTGAATGGTGCTGCATCTTCCGACACTGCTCATGCGACTGCTGCTGCTTCTGGCATTGCTCTTGGTGCTGCCACTTCTACCACTACTGCCACTGCTGCTGCTGGGGGGCGGGAAAAGAAATGCCTGGAGGGGAGGAGGGAGGAGGGGGTGTGGGAGGGGAGGAGCAAGAGGGTGGCTGTGGCGTGCATGGGCAGGTTGACCACACGTCTCTGCTGCTCACACTGTATTGGTGGGTCAAGTCCATGAAGGAGCTGGATGCATGTGCCGCATGGGTTTCGCACTTAACTGTTTTCACCTGTCACTCATTGCACACTTTCTTTCCCTTTGTGGCTTTCAGCTCCCCCTTGTGTTCCCCCTTGCCCCCTGCTCCCCTCTCTTATCCCTCTTCCATGCCTTCCTTTTCATGTCTATCTTCCATGAATCAAGAAGGCACATTAACCTTCCATCTCCCATCTCCGACCCCCCGCCAAGTTGACCGAGTGGGGGGATGCCTCAGCATCACACCAAGTGGAGCGATTTCCTCATAGAAATTTATCTTTCCTCCACCTCTCTCTTCTTCACACCCCATTCTGGCATTTGCATCCATGCGCTCCTCCTTGCTGCTTTCTCTCACTCCCCCCACTCCTCTCCCGCCCTTCCTCCCTCCCCTTGTGGCTCTCCTCTCCCTTACATCTCTTCTCCCGGTCCTCTTGCCCTCAGGAGGTTGTCTCGGTATTGGCAACACTGGTAAGATGTATTCAGCGGCTCAGCTCCCATACCTTGGCCTCATGGGATAAGCTCTGATGCCTATCTTCCACCGTTTCCCTTGCACCCTCTGCCTCATTGTGTGCCCTGCTATTTCCCTTCACCTCTCACCACCTCTCTTGTCTCACATTGCCAGGCTTTCTCACCCTCATTCTCGCTTCATTTCCTGTATTCCTCTCTTCATCCTCTTTCTTATTTCCACCCCTCCTTCACTCCATGCACCTCTGGAAAGTTTCAGCAGCAGAGTCCAACATCCAGGTGCGAGAGAGGGAAGGGGGGGATAGGATCTACGCTGGGGGGGTGACAGTACACATGCTGAGGGGACAATAGGATGCATGCCGCACTTTCGTTTCCAGTGCACGAAATCCTGAGCTGTTTCACCCCTTTCTCCTTCCTCCCCCTCTCCTACATCTGCTCCTCTTTTATACATTCCCTTCCCTCCCCCTACACACTCAGAATCCTCAAATTTTCTTCCTCACATTTCCCCTCCATTCCCTTTCAGAACTCTCAACTGATTTATCTATTCGTCCCCATAATCCAATGCCCTTCCCTCCACCCCTTCCCTCCTGTGTAATCCCGTAAAAGCCAGCATTTTGTACAGCAGGGGATGCCCTCTAACCGTGGTACCCCTCGAGGTTGCCATCCCTTTCATCACCTCTCCATGCTCGCATTTGGAGAAACTTGCAGGCCGCCAGACCCTGCACAGAAAAGCACAATGATGCACAGGGCATGGTAACATGGTAACGGGTATGAGAGTGCTGGGAACAGCTGGCACGCGGAGAGCATGCTGGTTACACATGGAAAGCAAACATGGAACAATCGTCACCTGTCAGCTGGCCTTACCATGAAGAGAGATGGCACAATCACAAAGGCGACAGCACTGGGGTTGTGCAGGGGGGGGTGTTGGAAGGCAAAGACCTCGAGGTACATGTGAGAAAAGACATGCACCAAGGCAAAGGATTGCAATAATTTTGGGCTGGGAGGGCGATGAAAGGTGGGGGGGGGGTTATGCAGAGGGAGGCGCAGATCACACATGCTGTGGAGCGTAGTAGAAGGGAAAACACGCAGGGATGTGTGGAGGTGAAGAAATGCACAAAACAGCAAGTGTGTGGGAAGAAAATGGGAATAGGAGAGCGGGGAGATGGAAGGGAGGGATAAGGGGGAGAGGGAAAGGAATGGGGGAGTGGTGGTTTTGAGTTTGGAGCTTGTTGCAACGAGTTGACTCGATTCATGAATGAGCTGTATGGCATGTGGCGACAGGAAGGCACTCTTTTATTACCCCTCTCTGCATCCTTTTCCTGCATATTCATGTCTATCCCTCTCCCTTCCTCACTCGTATCAGTCCGCCAATTTGTCCATGTGTAAGGTGTATTGGCACATCAGCTGCCCACTCAATGCGAGCAGCTCATCTCCATTCCCTCCTTTTCTTCACACGTACTGCCATCCTCACAAGCTGTCAGCAACAACACAACAGCACTAGTCACTCCCAACTCTCTCCACTCCTCCCTCCAAATCCCCCTCCCTTCATATCCTTCCTATTGCCGCGACCATTTAGCGGTTTAGTTGAGTTACATGCGGCAGCAGCATCGCTGTCTGTGCAACGCCCATGTGGCTCGCAGCATGGATGTGCTTGGTTCCTTCTAGGTTTTCCTGCCCTCCTCTCTTACCTTCCCTTCTGCCCGTCTCCTCTCCGTTCTCTCATCTGCGTATTTTTGTTCCATACCTCTTTGTGTGTAACGATTTCTAGTCTCTTCTCTTCCCATCCCTCCCTGTCACTTTCCTTCCCTCCGCCCCTCTCTTACCGTCCTTGAACTCAATTTCCTTATCATCCTTTTTTCCATTCTTTTTCTAACCATCTTTCTCCCCCATTTTACTGGATCACTCTAGGTAACCCACCACATGCATGTGAGGTAAGGATGTGATCTGAGAATTAAATACAGGCATGTGATAAGATCATGAGATGTGATCGGGTGACATGAACACGAGAAGTCCAGATTTGATAAAATGTACATTTTCAAAAGTGTTACACTTTCTAATATCACTTCTTTTGAAAGCGCAGCAGCTTGTATGCAGCACAAAAAGGCAGCGTCAAAGCGCCACTCGCCCTTCTCCAACTACAAAAAAGGGGTCGTTCGGCCATTTGGTCTCACCCACGTTTTCATTTTTCAAACTTTCAAGTTGAGTTTCCCACCCCCCACCCCGTAGAGTGAACTCATGTATGTTCATTATGACGAGCAATGCTGTACTTGACCATAAGCAATGAAGATGCTGCCTTTTCTAGTA